TGTGGTGAATACTTCAGACCATCTACATTTGTGGGAAACCTCATCCATTTCTCTCATTTGTGGAAGAGTGAAGCTTTATATATATGGGCTGGGAACAGAAAAACATCAGAGGAAAATATTTCTGTACTGTGCCATATAGTCATAGTTTAGACTTTGTGGGCCCAGAGTTGGCTTCAAGGCCATGAGAACTATGCAGTCGCACACAGCCCCACACTTTGGAAGGGCCATTTGCTTGGTTTAGTGTTTTGCAGTTTTAAAATTATTAATAATTTATGAATTGGAGGCCCTGAATTTTCATTTGTTCAGGGCCTCAGTTCTCTGCAGGTCAGATAGTCTCTATTACAACCACTCCTCTCTGCCACAGGAGCACAGACACAGACATAGACAGCATGCAAACAAATGAGAGTGACTGCATTCCATCAAAACTTTGCTTCCAAATATAGACAGTGGGCTGAATCTGGCCTGTGAGCCACAGTTTGCTGGCCCCTGGCTTAGCGCACAGGCTGCAGAGTAAGCAGGCTAGATTCAAATACTGATGCCAGGACTGTGGCTGCATGACACCTGGCCATTTACTTAACCTTCTCCAATTGCTACTTGCCCTCATTTCTAACTATGGGGTAATATTGTTAAGTCTACATCAGGGGCTGCTGTCAGAATTTGCCAGATGATGTATGTAAACCACCTGGTACCCTCCAGTACAAACTTTCCAGAACTGTTCTCATTTCTACTTATTGTCCTTTAGCTTCACCTCTCTGCCAATTCTGATGCTGGGTTATTTACATATTCCAACCCTTTTATCTTTCCGGGAATCTTCCAAAATCCATATCAGAGGAAGCTGGAAATCTGTGGATCGTTCCCCTTTTCTCCCCTTTCCAAGTAGACCTTTTTGGATAAAATTAGCAACAGTTTTCAATAAACCAGATGTGATCCCTCACCCAGGGTTCTGGAGTTTGGTGCCAGGTGCACACTTTCATCAGATGTCCCCACAGCCAGGCTGGTCAGAGGTACAATCGCTCACTCTCTAAATAATACAGTTGCTTCTGTAATACATGCACACTTTCAACCTCAGGCATTCAGATGCTGTTATACACTTGCCATGGTATCAACCTTCTCTCTGTCAATCATTAAAAATAATATAAGTAGCTGCTCAAGAAAATCAAAGAGGACGCAAACAAGTGGAAAAACTTTCCATGCTCATGTATAGAAATAATTAGTATCATGAAAATGGCCATACTGCCCAAAGTAATTTAGATTCAATGCCATTCCCATTAAATTACTATTGACATTCTTCACAGAATTAGAAAAAAATACTTTAAAATTCATATGGAAACCAAAAAGAACCCATATAGCCAAGGCAATCCTATGCAAAAAGAACAAAGCTGGAGGCATCACGCTACCTGACTTTAAACTATACTACAAGGCTATAGTAACCAAAACAGCACTGGTACTAAAACAGACACATTGACCAATGGAACAGAATAGAGAACTCAGAAATAAGACTGCATATCTACAACCATCTCATCTTCAACAAACCTGACAAAAACAAGCAAAGGAGAAAGTATTTCCTATTTAATAAATGGTGCTGCAAGAACTAACTAGTCACATGCAGAAAATTGAAACTGGACCCCTTCTTTGCACTTTATACAAATATTACTCAAGATGGTTTAAAGATTTAAATGTAAAATCCAAAACTATAAAATCCCTAGCAGAAAATCTAGGCAATACCATTCAGGACATAGGCAAGGGCAAAGATTTCACAATGAAGATGCCAAAAGCAATTGCAACAAAAGCTAAAATTGACAAATGGGATCTAATTAAACTAAAGAGCTTCTACACAGCAGAAGAAACTATCATCAGAGTGAGCAGATGATTCACAAAATGAGAGAAAATTTTTATAGTCTATCCATCTAACCAAGGTCTAACACCCAGAATTTACAAGGAACTTAAACAAATTTACAAGAAAAAAAAAAAGCTCATTAAAAAGTGGGCAAAGGACATAAACAGACACTTCTCAAAAGTAGAAATGTATGTAGCCAGCAAACATGAAAAAAACTCAGCATCACTGATCATTAGAGAAATGCAAATCAAACCACAGTGAGATACCATCTCACACCAGTCAGAATGGGTGATGATTAAAGTCAAGAAACAATAGATGCCGGCAAGGCTGCAGAGAAATAGGAACATTTTTACACTCTGGTGGGAATGTAAATTGGTTCAACCATTGTGGAAGACAGTGTGGAGACTCCTCAGAGACCTAGAACCAGAAATACCATTTGACCCAGCAATCCCATTACTGGATATATATTCAAATGAAAATAAATCATTCTATGATAAAGATACATGCACACATATGTTCACTGCAGTACTATTCATAATAGCAAATACATGGAATCTAAATGCCCATCAGTGATAGACTGGATAAGGGAAATGTGGTACATATACACCATGGAATACTATGCAGCCTTAAAAAGAAATGAGATCATGTCCTTTGCAGGGACATGGATGGAGCTAGAAGCCATTATCCTCAGCCGACTAAGACAGGAACAGGAAAACAAACACTGCATGGTCTCACTTATAAGTGGGAGCTGAACAATGTGAATACATGGACACAGGGAGAGCAACAGTACACAATGAGGCCTGTTGGCGGAGGGTGTGGAGGGAGGTGGGAGAGCATCAGGAAAAATAGCTAATGCATGCTGGGCTTAATACCTAGGTGATGGATTGATAGTGCAGCAAACCACCAATTCACATGTTTATCTATGTAACAAACCTATACATCTTGCACATGTATCTTAGTACCTAAAATAAGATAAAATTTTAAAAATAAAATAAAATTAAGTTATTTCTTACCCAGAGTAGGCTTTATGGTAAGTATGTTTTTGGAAGTCTTTTCTCTCTTATCTTCTTTACTGAATTAAGGCCACAGATCTTAGGCTTTGAGTCACATATACTTAAAATCTAAACAAAATTGAAAATATTTCCCAGAAGAGAAAAATGTGTACTTGTGCACACACACACACACACACACACACACAAACATACATTTTTTTAACCTAAAATTTCAGAGCCTTAAAGATTACCTGAAAGCTCAGTGATAACCATTAAAGATCTATCTATGAAAACAGATGAAGCATTCCTGTTAGGGGGAATTTCAAGGTTTTGCTTCTCGACATATCAGAATCACAGGTTGTATCTATGCTAGCTAGAGTACCTGACAGGGAAGAAGTACATTCGTAAAAGTGTGAATTAACTAAGGTGAATTCCTAGGCATCTTGAAATCCTTTTACGATCTAGAATGATGAATGAATGGATTGTGGAAAAGCAGCACGTCAGCCATTCATTAGGATAGCTTTGCATTCCCTTGGTGAGCAGATCTATACGGGTGATTCTTCCGGTTACTTTCAGGATAGTGAGTTTTGCTTTGGAAAATGTGATTGATGTCGCTATGCCTCCATGCACACATCATTAGTCTGTGGCGGGTAAGCTCAGATGGTCAGAGCACTGTGCTAATGAGGCGAAGGTTAGGGGTTCAGTGCCCATGTGGGTTACTTAGCTTTTGTCTCATTCATGTCCCCAGACTACTCCCAACACAGGCCACCTGTCTTGAAGATGTGTATCTAAAGTCAGGGGGAGGAGCCATGTGCAAGAGTTTGGCTGGATCACTACAAATCTATCATGACTCTGGGAAATCAACCACTGTGTGAGCTCCTGGCTGTTGATGAGGGAATACACCTTCATTTAAAAGGGACAGCAAGCATAATTCTCAATGCACACATGGTCTCAACGGAGTGGATTTTGTGAATAACTTGTTAAATTGTCACTTAATTTTACACAGCTAGAAAATAGGCAACCAACTGAGATGACGTTTGACAAAACAGTGGTGAGGTGCCCTTCACTCAGGCAAATGAAACATGAATATTTACTTACATATAGAGGGGTGCACACTAGCATTCAGGCTGCAGAAAATTCACTTCACAAAAATCAACTACAGAAGCTCTTGAATTATTTAATAGGTGAATCTTTGATTAAGTGTTATCAAAATAATAGTTGAATTCAACAGAATTTTTCATCTTCATATTTCTTTTATAAAGTGAAGCACATGTTTGCATCCAAAACTTCCTTACTTACCCTCATTTTGGGTAAAAGCACTATGATCTGACACAAGCCAGGGGTCAGGAAATTACCCTTAGGTCCTCCCTGACCCTCAGGCTCTTCATCTCCCAAACCTATAGGAAGCCGAGAGGTTTTGTTTCAACTCTTTCATGGCTCCCATATCTGTCCCTCCCCTTCCTTATTACCAAGATTTCAGCTCTAACCCTGGTTTTTTCCTAACTGGACCATTAGAGCACACAGCTAACTAATCTTTCATCCTTTCTTATCACTGAGGATAATTTCTAAGCATGAGCTTTACAATTTGACTCTCTGTGTTCTAACCCAAAATCTGCCATTTACTAGCTGTGTGAATTTACTAGTATAGAGCCAGAAGGCTATATACTTCCTTAACTTTTAGCCTGTGCCTCCGTTTATGTTCACCTGTAAATTAGGGACGAAAATAATAACAGGCTCATGGGATTTTTGTAACGATGTAAACTGGTTAATTTTACAAAAGATGTTAAAAAATTGCTTGGAATATAATATCCACTTAATAAATGTTATTTGCTATTATTATTACTAATTAATTAATCATTATCATTTCTATATTTACAGCATGGACTGACTCAAGGTGTACTGTTCTGAATCCTACCATTAAGACTTCCTCAGCAAGTTACCAACCTTCTGACTGAGTCTCCTCATCAGCTGACATGTTTACTCACATAGAGTTAATGACAGTGTCTGTATTAGAGGATTTGGTCAAGATGAAATTAGATATTGCAATGGAGTGCTGAGGACAACAGCTAGCTCACTTAAAATGCTTGCTAACTGTGTACAAGTACACAAGGTCTGTTTTATGAATAAAAACCAACATCTATGTCACTCTCTTGTTTCCAGTTATGTGACGTAAGACTGTTCTTCTAGGGATGATTTCTATAGTTCAGTCCCAGAGAAGGTTCTCTGACAGTTTGGAGCACCGGAAACCACACGAAGGAGGCACAGCAATCTCTTCTGAGCCAGGAGCCTGCACTTGGTGTTGTTCTGCTGCGGCTGCTGTTTGCCACTGTCGATCCTTCTCTTCTTTCAGGAGAGTAAGAAGGGGAGGGTGTGGCCTGAGTGGTTTCCATTAGGACTTTGAAAAACAATCATGTAATAGTTCCTCATTGAATGCAGTCATTGTTCCCAGCATGTTAGAAGCTATAAACTCTTTGCAACACAACAAATTTCAAGTAGCCGGAAATGCTCTAAATACCTATGTGAGACTTCAGCTGCACAGTAGACCCATCTATCGTAGAGAAGTCCACCTCTTGATGTGAAAGTATATATACATACGTTGAAAATAGGTAACAATGCACAAGCAAATTCAAAAGACAAAAGGAACCCTCCCAGTACTAGAATCTCAAAGTTCATGCAAAAATAGAGCAGACGCCACCGCTGATCACAGGAGTATCTTTCTTGATACAGACTCTAAGGCTTGGGGTGGTGACTTCAACACCCACACTGGAACAGGTGAGGAAATCTCTCACCTGAAGTAGGTGTAGAGCTGGAATCGCGTTTTTTGTTTGTTTGTTTGTTTGTTTGTTTGTTTGTTTTGGACAGAGTTTTCTCCTATTGCCCAGGCTGGAGTGGAATGGCGCGATCTCGGCTCACTGCAACCTCTGCCTCCCAGGCTCAAGCAATTCTCTTGCCTCTGCTTCCCAAGTAGCTGGAATTACAGACATGCACCACCATACCTAGCAAATTTTTTGTATTTAGTAGAGATGGGTTTTCACCATGTTGATCAGGCTGGTCTCGAATGTCTGACCTCAGGTGATCCACCCACCTTGGCCTCCAGAAGTGCTTGGATTACAGGCATGTGCCACCGCACCTGGCCCTGGAATAGCTACTTTTATAAAGCCAAGACTGTCCGTGTCATGCAAAGAGAAATTAACTCCACTCACCAACCTGGGGAGACAGCAATGCAACTTTCTCCCTACTGGCAGCTATAAAAGAGAAAAAGTTCTCTTGCAAGAAATCAAAACACCAACTTTCTGCCATGAGTACATGGGAAGACCAAATTTATATTATTTTCCAGGTGTAGGGGAGCCTGAAACAGGATTTTATCTGAAATATGAAATCCCAAGAAATCTAAAATAAATAAAAAAAAAAAAAAAAGTAAAGCTGCTTTGTAGGGACAGCTATGCAACTAGGGCGAGAGCATATGACTCCTCCTACCACAAAGAACCCACCAGATTCAAATCATAACTAAGGAACAATAAATGTGCAAAAAGCTGGCATTTTTAATAACAAACTTTAAAAACGTCTAGAAACTAAAATTGTGGTCATTAATATGTTTATAGACATTGGATAGGTTAAACAGCAGATTAGATAAAGCTGACGAAAGACTCAATAAACTGGAAAACAATTCTGAGAAAAAATCCCTCAAAATGCAGCACAAATAAATAAAAAATATAAAGTGTCAAAAGAGTTAAGCAACAGAAATAATGCCCCATATTCATCTAATAAGAAATCCACCAAGTAAAAAGATAATATTTGAAGGAAAAATGATTGATTATTTTGCAAAACTGAAGAAGATCATGAAGAAAATCAGATTAGAAAAGCACCCCAATTCCCAAGAAAGTAAAAATAAGTTTATATCTAGAACCATCAAAATAAAATTAGAAAACATAAAAATAAAGGAAATATCTTACAGATAATTACAAAAAAACATAGAGATTTGCCACAAAAGGAAGCACATGCTGCTGACTGCAGGCATTGCTTCACCTATCAGAAAGTCCAGAAAAATGCAGAAGAACTTGTTAACCTATAGGCAGTTAAACTGTTATTTACAAGCAAAAGTAAAGTAAAGATGGATTTAGAGAGTATAGCATTCATAGACTGTTATTCAAGAAATACTAAAGAACACATTTAACAGAAACTGAATAGGCCGGGTGTGGTGCCTCATGCCTGTAATCCCAGCACTTTGGGAGGCTGAGGTGGGTGAGCCACCTGAGGTCAGGAGTTCCAGACCAGCCTAGCCAACATGGTGAAACCCCATCTCTACCAAAAATAGAAAAAAATAGCTGGGTGTGGTGCTGTGCACCTATAACCCCAGCCACTCAGGAGGCTGAGGCAGGAGAATCACTTGGGCCAGGGAGGCGGAGGTTGCAGTGACCCTGGATGGTGCCACTGCACTCCAGCCTGGGCAACAAGAGCAAAACTCCATCTCAAAAGAAAGGAAGGAAGGAAGGAAGGAAGGAAGGAAGGAAGGAAGGAAGGAAGGAAGGAAGGAAGGGGGGAAGAAGGAAGGAAGGGAAGGAAACAATACAGAAGAATGAAAAGTGAATTACAAGAGACTGATAATTTTGAAAATTTATAAATGTAAATGAATCTAAACTGACTTTTTAAGAAAAATTAAAAGTGTACCTAAACTTGGAAAGCTTAAAAACAAGGATTCAAAACCCCAGTCAACCATAGCATAGAAAAAGGAAGAGGGACCAATAAAAGCTAAAGGATTTAGTTCCTCTTGGAGTAGAAATGTTGATAAGCTTAGACTCGGTCACATCAAAAGTGCTTATTAAAGTATAAGGGTATTGGCCAGGCGTGGTGCCTCACGCCTGTAATCCCAGTCCCCGCACTTTGAGGGGCCAAGTCAGGTGGATCACCTGAGATCAGGAATTTGAGACCAGCCTGGCCAACATGGCAAAACCCCATCTCTACTAAAAGTACAAAAAAAAATTAGCTGGGCATGGTGGCAGGTGCTTGTAATTCCAGCTACTCAGGAGGCTGAGGCAGGAGAATCAGTTGAACTCAGGAAGTGGAGTTTGCAGTGAGCCAAGATCGAGCCACTGCACTCTAACCTGGGCAACAGAGTGAGACTCCATCTCAAAAATACTACTACAACTACTCATAAGTGTATTGCATAACCAGGTTTTCTGGGACCTGAAGCTTATATAATCTGTGGAACTTACATTATTTTCTCTTAAGAAAAGAATAAAAAACTATTTTAAATGTTTTAATTTTACCAAAAACATCTGGTCCTTAGAGGAGGACCATGCATGTAAGGGGCCAGAAGGCTACACACTTCCTTAGCTAAATCTAGCTATAGTGCAACTTAAAAAAAAATCAAAATAAAATGCTTAAATCATATTCCATTCCAAGAAGGGAGTGAAAGGATACAAATAAAGAAATGCTGTCAAACTAATAAAATCGAAAAAAGAAAAAGTAAGCAAAATCATTGAAAATTGAAAACATAAAATAACATAGTATAAAATATCCAAATAAACCGGTAATTACAATAAAAAATCAATGAACTAAATGTTCAACTTAATAAGTTAGAAAAACCTAGAAAAGAAATCCAAAGAAATAGAAGGAACAAAATAAAAAGATAACAGATACTAACGAACTAGAAAATAAAGAAATAATGATGATGAGGAGAACTGAGATATGAGAATGATGATAATTACTTAGAAAGAATGGTCACCATTCTTTCTAAGTAAATTCCTGACATTTAAGGAGAATTGGATAATTTTCACGAACAAGGCTTCTAACCTTCTGGGTTGCCAAAAACATTAAGAAGAGTTTGTTAAGCTTGAAATGCTTCTAATTTTTTCTTCCCTCATATATCTCATATCTTACAACTCTTTTGTCCCACATGCAAATTGTGAATGAGTCAACCAACCATAAAAATCATTTCTACTTGTTTCCATTGAGTGATACTTTTAGGCGTCACATTAGTCCAAAATCCTGAGGTTTGGGTTACTTTTTATCTTTTTGATGAGCCCTGGATAGAAACAGGTACTTTTTAGACTGGGCAATAAGGAACTGGAAGTCCCAGCTGTGTAGGAGACATCCTATTTTTATTGCCTGCTCTCCAGAGTTGTGTCTCAAGGGTACCCCGAATAGATGTGTGGCACTTAAAGAATTAATTTTTGATTAGAAAGAACAGGAACAAGCTTCTCAGGCAGACTAGTTCACATTTCTTTTATTTATTCTTCATTTTCTTTTATTTTCTGTTTATCACCTGTCTTGTCTTTAATCAGATGAATACACACATGAATCACGGGATACAGTTTGGCACTAAGGGCTCTAAAAGGATCATAGCTATGCCTTCTGACTGATTCATATCTAAAGTGCCCCCAAAAGGTTGCCAGCATGCTCCATCCTGAATTCCAAAATAGAGGCACTCCTTGGAAAAGAGAAGTCTCTTTCACTGCCTAGTCGTTCCAATCCGAGAAGAGACAGCCCCGAGTGGACCACAAGCCAGGAGCTGTCTGCAGCATATTAAGAAAATCCTCCAAAATGCAAACCAAAAAAAATATTTTTCATCAGAAAAAAAAGTGAAAGAAAGAATTAGATGGGGAAAAAAATGAATCTTCCTCTCTCAGCCTCAGAACGTCAGTTGAAGCCAGGAAGGACTCTTTTATTACACAGATAATTCAAAGCAAGAAATCTCTTGTCAGGATAGGGACAGCCTCTGGGCTGAACAGGGCAACAAGTTCGACTCACCTCCAAGGCCTTGCTGCTCCACAGGTGAATGTGGCCTGAAATAAAGGTATAAATTATCACCATGGCGCATGAGACTTAGCCTTCCAATGCCCCTCCATTAACCTTCCACCCTCCTCCCGCCTGCAATCACCATGTGGAAAAAAGGTCCCCCAGTGGCCTGGCAGAAGGTAACACAAATGTTTCATTGACTTTTGAATTAAGAAAGGTAAAAAAAAAAAATCCTAACTGTGGCATATAAAAAACACAGCAATTTAGGGTTTGGTTGTTTCCTATGGAAGGTGTATGATTTTTTTTCACTTCCCCTCTATTTTTTGCTTTCAAAAAAATAATTGTTAAGTTTTTCAACATTGTGGCCTTAGGAGGTAATTTGCTAAATAGGACAAAATTAGCTGATTTTTGGACCATTTAAAAGAACATTTCTTTTGAAAGCATATAAAATGTATTAAAGCAATCTTGGGAGTCTTTACCCCTGCTTGAGATTTTAATTTACTCCGAGCTAATAAATTATCCCCCCTCTCAGAAGCTATTGAAAAATTTCAGTTAAATCCTTTTTAAATTTTAATGTGTTCAATTGAATCCCAGGCAATTTAGACATACACACTCACAGCTTGGGGTGGTCAACTCACCAAGGCAA